GCTCCCTCAGGTGTTTCCCAGGTAGACCTGGTCGAGCCTGTCGAGGTAGCTGTTGACTCTGGTCCTGCGCGAGGTGCTGCGCGTGCTGAGCCTGGTGGTGCTGAGTCTGGGGGTGCGGAGACTGCGGGTGCTGGGCCTGGGGGTGCTGCGACTGGGGGTGCTGAGCCTAAAGGAGCTGAGGCTGGGGGTTCTGAGACTGACCGTACTGCGCCTGTTGGCGCTCCCTCTTCACAGCAGCTGCGTGATTGGTACTCCCAGCGTTACAACCTCCGTCGTGGGGCTACTGGAGCTGGGGGGTCTGCTGGAGTCGGGGCTGGTGGCCCTGCGGGTGCAGTGTCGCAGCCGGAGCCTCCCTCCCCTCAGCGACTACGTGAGTGGTACGCTCGGCGCTGCAGCCTCCGGAGTGGAGCTCCTGGTTTTGAGGTACCGCCAGCTGGAGGCCCTGCTGCTACTGGAGGTCCTGGAGCTGCTGGAGGTGCTGCTGGTGCTGGTGCTGCTGGAGGGGCTGCTGGAGGTGCTGGAGCTGCTGGAGGTGCTGCTGGTGCTGCTGGAGGTCCTGGAGCTGCTGGAGGTGCTGCTGGTGCTGCTGGAGGTACTGGAGCTGCTGGAGGTCCTGGAGCTGCTGGAGGTGCTGCTGGTGCTGCTGGAGGTGCTGCTGGTGCTGCTGGAGGTACTGGAGCTGCTGGAGGTACTGCTGGTGCTGCTGGAGGTTCTGGAGCTGCTGGAGGTGCTGCTGGTGCTGGTTCAGCTGGAGGTTCTGGTGCTGTCTCTGCTGCTTCTGGGGGCACTTGATGGCCGCGGCCGTACTTCGTTCCGCTCCTTCAGCAGGTTCTTGGTCAGCCACCTCCTCCCAGTCCTCCTCCCTCCTTAGAGTGTCCTCCGCCTGTCCAGTCGCAGTCACAGCTACCGCCCGCCTCCCCACTTCCTGGTCCTTCTCCCTACACTGGTCCGACAGGCGGTCTTACAGAGCGTCGTGAGCCTGAGTCTCGTCCTGTGTCGCCTGTGTCTCGTCCTGTGTCACCTGTTCGTGCTACTCGCACTGGTCGCCGTGTTCCGCGTGAGCGTCCTCCACCTGTCCCTGGCACACACTATATGACTCTGCGTCCTTCCACTGCTCCACAGCGTGTCCCTCTGCCGTCTCCTCCTGCGTCCTCTCTTCCTGTTCTTGCTGACCCGGAGTCTGACTCTCTTCGTGCTGCCAGTCCTACTGTCACGCATCTACTGGCCACTGCTGTCACTAACCCTTCCTTTGAGTCTGCTGATGCGTCTGCCCTAGTTGCTGAGCTTGTCGACTTTGCTGCTCGCTGTCGTCTAGACTACGCCGCGAGTCTTGTTGCTGAGTCTGAGTCTGTCTGTCCTCCGTCCGTCGGAGGTGAGTGTGCTCTTAGCACGGACGTCCTTGAGGACAGACAGGAGGACCTTGAGTGTCTTGCAGCCGCTGCGCCTCATCTCGTGTTCATGCTGATTGCCCCTGAGGGAGACCCGGATGCTCCAGACATCCCGACCCCGCGCTCTTACGCTGAGGCGATCGCGGGTGAGTATTCCTCTCAGTGGCAGTCAGCCATGGACGCAGAGATGGCATCCTGAAAGTCCACTGGCACTTACGTCGACGAGGTTCCCCCTCCTGGGGCGAACATCGTCAGTGGCATGTGGATTTTCAGGGTGAAGCGGTCGCCGGGTTCTCCGCCTGTCTTCAAGGCTCGTTACGTTGCTCGAGGGTTCAGTCAGCGAGAGGGAGTAGACTTCTTTCAGACCTTCTCCCCCACCCCGAAGATGACCACTCTTCGAGTGCTACTGCACGTTGCTGCTCAGCGTGACTACGAGCTTCACTCTCTTGACTTCAGCACAGCTTTCTTGCAGGGCAGCCTGCACGAGGAGATCTGGCTGCGCCGGCCTCCTGGCTTCACTGGGTCGTTTCCTCCTGGTACCCAGTGGAGCCTCCGGCGGCCGGTCTACGGTCTCCGCCAGGCGCCACGTGAGTGGCACGACACACTTAGGATTACTCTTGCGGCACTTGGGTTTGCGCCTTCTACTGCTGACCCGTCGCTGTTTCTGCGCACCGACACTTCGCTGTCGCCGTTCTACATCCTCGTGTACGTCGACGACTTGGTCTTTGCCACTGCTGACACCGAGGCTCTCGCCCACGTGAAGTCGGAGCTGCAGAAGAGACACACGTGCACAGACCTGGGTGAACTGCGCAGCTACCTTGGCTTGCAGATCACCCGGGACAGAGCACGCTGCACCATCACACTGACTCAGTCACACATGGTGCAGCAGGTCCTTCAGCGCTTCGGCTTCACCTGGTCCTCAGCACAGGCCACTCCTCTGGCTACAGGTCACTCGCTCTCAGCTCTGCCTTCGGATGAGTCCGTAGAGCCGAGTGGTCCTTACCCAGAGCTAGTTGGCTGCCTCATGTATCTGATGACTTGTACTCGTCCTGACCTAGCGTACCCTCTTGGCCTTCTGGCCCGCTACGTGGCTCCTGGTAGGCACCGAAAGGTGCACTGGGATGCTGCAAAGAGGGTATTGCGCTACTTGTACAGTACATCGGGCATGGGGCTCGTGCTTGGAGGAGGGAGCTCAGTTGTTCTCACTGGGCACTCAGACGCTTCTTGGGTTGACGACCAGGCTACTCAGCGGTCGTCACAGGGTTACACCTTCAGCCTTGGCTCTGGCTCAGTTTCGTGGCGTTCTACGCGTTCGTCTTCAGTTCTCAGCTCCAGTTGTGAGGCTGAGATCTACGCCACAGCCATGGCTGCACAGGAGTTACGCTGGCTCACCTACCTGCTGACCGACCTGGGAGAGCGGCCTCGTTCTCCTCCAGTGCTGTACGTCGACAACAAGGCTGCCATTGCCTTGTGTGAGGAGCACAGACTAGAGCACAGGACGAAGCACATCGCTCTACGTTACTTTCTGGCTCGAGAGTTGCAGCAGCGTGGTCAGCTTCGTCTGCGTTACGTGGCCACTCAGGCCAACACTGCTGATATATTCACCAAGGCACTTCAGTCTGGTGATCATCAGCGTTTCTGCACTTTGCTAGGGCTTGTGCCCACTTTTCCTCACTTGTTGTAGACTTTGCCTGTACTGTGATCTATATATATATATATACCTGCATGCTTGCTAGATATAGATCACTGTGATGCTTGTGCTACATATATGCCTCTGCATGTGAACTGGCCTTGTGGTCCTTTACTTGTGCTCAGAGTGTGTGGTGACGTTGTGATCCACCCTGAGCTTGCTTTGTCTTTCTTGACTGGTCCTGTGACTCCTTGCTCTCCCCCACTTAGCCTATGGGGGTGTGTCAAACATTATATATGTTTCTGTTGTGTAGGCTACAGTGGGTTAGCCTTTAGGGGGTACACTTCTCTAGGGTTTCTTACTTGTACTCCAAGATCTTTCTAGTTCAACACTTCTTGTTTCTGACACTTCCCCCCCTTCCATTCTCCCAACCCAACCACCCCCGTGTCTTCCTCCCGCGTGCACGACCCGTCACACGGCAGGCATGACTGGCTTGGTTTCGCCTGCCGACTTTTGTGCGGCACACATGGCAGCACTGGAAGGGATGCTAGACCACTCCGCATCCGTTTCTGCTGCTGCTGGCCTGGAGGCAGGTGGAGGTGGAAATGGGGCTGCTTCGGATGGTGGTGGTGGTCTAGGTGATAAGCGCCTCTGACCAAGCAATGGCACTCCCCTCACTGGCAGGTCCACCAAGCATCTCACACTGCATTGCTCTCTTCTGCTGCACACCACGCCAGGCATGCAATTGCAGCAAGCTGCACGTGCGGCAGCTCCCAGCATAGTTGACAGGTTCTGTTTGTAGTATATTATACATCCAAACACTCCCACATGCGTGTTTGCGCCCACTGTGTCTGGGTTCAGTACATTGAAGGCCTTCAAGCTATAAACACTTTGCAACGTTTTACAAATGGAGTACTTACAACAGTATTGACTAAATACAAGGACCCTAATCACCCAACCCTGGATTCCACCATACCCCCCATGTTGCTAGTCATATGCCCGTGCTCGATTTTTATCCCCCTTCACCCTGTCGCTGTTCTTTTTGCTCATCTTCAGAACCAATCCTGAAACCTAGCGTCAATCGTTGTCGACACCCACGTCATTGCGAGAACATCAATGACTTCTGGCGGGCAACATAAGAAAGGAGTGGGGAACTTGGTGTAGGGAGTAGGCAAAACAAAGCAGCGGTGTGTGCAGGGATTGGAAGTCATCCCTGCAGGGGTGGATGAGAGGACAGGTAGGGAAGTGGGGGGACCTAATGTGTTGATCCATCGATGGATTGCGAGCGCAAAACGAAGGGTAGGGTATGGCAGGGTATGGAGCGGGATGGATGGGTATGGCAGGCGATGGATGGCTATGGTATGGGATGGATGGGTATGGCAGGCGATGGATGGCTATGGTATGGGATGGATGGGTATGGCAGGCGATGGATGGCTATGGTATGGGATGGATGGGTATGGCAGGCGATGGATGGGTATGGTATGGGATGGATGGGTATGGCAGGCGATGGATGGGTATGGTGTGGGATGGATGGGTATGGCTGGAGTATGGAATGGTATGGTACACTTCTGCTAAAGAGGGAATTGTAGGGCAGGGTATGGCAAGGAGCGGCAAGGTATGGCAGGGGAGGGGTGAGTTTGGCTGGCCTATGTATGGGTATGGGAGGAGATAGAAGGGTACAGCAGGGTACGTTGGAGGGTAGGGTGGGTGCAGATAGCAGACCGACTCACACTGCAGTGGATAGGTTCGGGTGTCTAATCCTTGGAACTGGTTGAACTTCCTGTGCACTCCCTCTGCAGCACAAGCAACGGTGGAGTCGCGATTACTTCACAGACAAGAAACAGCATGGTGGGGGAAGGACAAGGTGAGACAAGTTGCGAGGAAGGTCAGAGGAGGGGGTATGAGCCCAAGGAACATTCTAGAGGAAGGAGTGGTGATGGGAGGCATGAAGGGGAGACAACAAGGCAGGGATGACCAGAAGGTTAGAGGGCTTGAGGAGATGGGTAGGCGAAGTGGAGGGGTGAGGATGAAGAGGTGGGACTGAAGGGCAGAAAGTGCCTGAGAGGAACGGGAGGAGGGGAGGCGGGGAAGGGAGATGGAGGAGGCGGGATATTATGAACCAAAGGGTGATGGACAAGGGGCGGCCCTAAATTTTTGGCGCTGATGGGGGCCGTGCTGAGGGATGGAGGAGAAGGTGGGGGGGGGGGGGGGGGGGGGGGGGGGGGGGGGGGGGGGGGGGGGGGGGGGGGAGAAGAGAAGAAAGAGATCGCAGGGAGGGAAGAGGGGGAAGGGAGGGAGGGGAGGGAAGGGAGGAAAGAGAGGGAAGAAAGGGAAGGTTGATAAGGGAGGGAAGAGAGGGTAAGAGGGAAGGAAGGGAAGGGAGGGAAGGGAGGGAAGGGAGGGAAGGGAGTTTTGGGAGGGAAGGGAGGGAAGGGAGGGAAGGGAGGGAAGAGAGAGAAGGGAGGGAAGGGAGAGAAGGGAGGGAAGGGAGAGACGGGAGGGGAGGGAGGAAAAGGAGAGATTCTGAATGCAAGCAGGGAGAGAAGGGAGGGAATGGGGAGAAGGGGGAGAAGGGAGGGGTTGGAGGGAAAGGAGGGAGGAGAGGGAACCAGAGGGAAGAGAGGGAAACGAGGGAAGGGAGGGAAGAGAGGGAAACGAGGGAAGGGAGGGAAGAGAGGGAACCGCGGGAAGGGAGAGAAGAGAGGGAAACGAGGGAAGGCGAGGAAGAGAGGGAAACGAGGGAAGGGGAGGAAGAGAGGGAATCGAGGGAAGGGAGGATAGTGAGGGAACCGAGGGGAGGGAGGGAAGAGAGGGAACCGAGGGAAGGAGGGAAGAGAGGGAAGGGAGTTTTGGGAGGGAAGGGAGGGAAGGGAGGGAAGGGAGGGAAGGGAGGCAAGGGAGGGAAGGGAGGGAAGAGAGAGAAGGGAGGGAAGGGAGAGAAGGGAGGGAAGGGAGAGACGGGAGGGGAGGGAGGAAAAGGAGAGATTCTGAATGCAAGCAGGGAGAGAAGGGAGGGAATGGGGAGAAGGGGGAGAAGGGAGGGGTTGGAGGGAAAGGAGGGAGGGGAGGGAACCAGAGGGAAGAGAGGGAAACGAGGGAAGGGAGGGAAGAGAGGGAAACGAGGGAAGGGAGGGAAGAGAGGGAAACAAGGGAAGGGAGGGACGACAGGGCAACGAGGGAAGGGAGGGAAGAGAGGGAACCGAGGGAAGGGAGGGAAGAGAGGGAAACAAGGGAAGGGAGGGAAGAGAGGGAAACGAGGGAAGAGATGGAAGAGAGGGGAAACGAGGGAAGGCAAGGAAGAGAGGGAAACTAGGGATGGGACAGAAGAGAGGGAAACGGGGAAGGGAGGGAAGAGAGGGAAACGAGGGAAGGGAGGGAAGAGAGGGAAACGAGGGAATGGAGGGAAGAGAGGGAAACGAGGGAAGGGAGGGAAGAGAGGGAAACGAAGGAAGGGAGGGAAGAGAGGGAAACGAGGGAATAGAGGGAAGAGAGGGGAAACGAGGGAAGGCAAGGAAGAGATGGAAACGAGGGATGGGACAGAAGAGAGGGGAAACGAGGGAAGGCGAGGAAGAGAGGGAAATGGGGGAAGGGACAGAAGAGAGGGAAACGGGGAAGGGAGGATAGTGAGGGAACCGAGGGGAGGGAGGGAAGAGAGGGAAATGGGGGAAGGGAGGGAAGAGAGGGAAACGAGGGAAGGGAGGGAAGAGAGGGAAACAAGGGAAGGGAGGACAGAGAGGGAACGAGGGAAGGGAGGGAAGAGAGGGAAACGAGGGAAGGGGAGGAAGTGAGGGAATCGAAGGAAGGGAGGTTAGTGAGGGAACCGAGGGGAGGGAGGGAAGAGAGGGAAACAAGGGAAGGGGAGCAAGAGAGGGAAACGAGGGAGGGGAGGGAAGAGAGGGAAGCGAGGGAAGGGAGGGAAGAGAGGGAAACGAGGGAAGGCGAGGAAGAGATGGAAACGAGGGAAGGGGAGGAAGAGAGGGAATCGAGGGAAGGGAGGATAGTGAGGGAACCGAGGGGAGGGAGGGAAGAGAGGGAACCGAGGGAAGGAGGGAAGAGAGGGAAACGAGGGAAGGGAGGGAAGAGAGGGAACCACGGGAAGGGAGAGAAGAGAGGGAAACGAGGGAAGGCGAGGAAGAGAGGGAAACGAGGGAAGGGGAGGAAGAGAGGGAATCGAGGGAAGGGAGGATAGTGAGGGAACCGAGGGGAGGGAGGGAAGAGAGGGAACCGTGGGAAGGAGGGAAGAGAGGGAAACGAGGGAAGGGAGGGAAGAGAGGGAACCGCGGGAAGGGAGAGAAGAGAGGGAAACGAGGGAAGGCGAGGAAGAGAGGGAAACGAGGGAAGGGGAGGAAGAGAGGGAATCGAGGGAAGTGAGGATAGTGAGGGAACCGAGGGGAGGGAGGGAAGAGAGGGAAACGAGGGAAGGAGGGAAGAGAGGGAAACGAGGGAAGGGAGGGAAGAGAGGGAAACAATGGAAGGGAGGGCAGAGAGGGAACGAGGGAAGGGAGGGAAGAGAGGGAACCGCGGGAAGGGAGAGAAGAGAGGGAAACTCAGGAAGGGAGGGATGAGAGGGAAACGAGGGAAGGGAGGGAAGATTGGGAAGCGAAGGAAGGGAGAGAAGAGAGGGAAACGAGGGAAGGCGAGGAAGAGAGGGAAGCGGGAATGGGAATGGTTGAACGGGAGGCACGCGGAGGAGAACGGGGAGCTGTAAGGGGAGATCGGGGGTGGGAATGGGAGAACGGGAGGCACGACGGGGAGAACGGGGAGCTGTAAGGCGACGCCGCTTCGCGGATCAGCGGCGAGGCGACGCCGTTTCGCGGATTTGCGGCGAGGCGACGCCGCTTCGCGGATTTGCGGGGAGGCGACGCCGCTTCGCGGATTTGCGGCGAGGCGACGCCGCTTCGCGGATTTGCGGGGAGGCGACGCCGCTTCGCGGATTTGCGGCGAGGGGAAGCCGCGCGCAGATTTGCGGCGATGCGACGCGGCGAATGAATTTGCAGCGCGGCGACTTCGGGAGCGGATTTGCCGAGAGGTGACGCCGCGACGGGCGTTGAGGCGAGTCTACGAAGCGAGGTCTTATGAGGCGTCGCAAACCCTACGCCATGCTATGGACGGCATTTGACCTAAGCGAGCCCGCAAGCTTGATCGTGATGGCACAGATTGGTGCGAATAGTTAGTTTCCTTAGTAGTTCACGGGTAAAGTGGGTGACGGCTTGTCGAGGAGGGAGCACCTTCAGTATACTTTTGGCATGAATAAACTTTCGACACTTGAGTGGACTTGGCTGGTGGCAGGGTTGGGGACTCTTGGGAACCGTCGCTCGTGAGTGAAGTTGAGTGGGCCTGTAACTTGGTATCCACCATGTCCCTTTTATAAACTTTGGGCACCCCCCCTTCCAAATATATACCGCTGCTTTAAGTCTGAGAGGAGACAATGAAGTCTCTGTAGTGACCTTGTTGAATAATAATTGAAAGAGAACAAGATACTTGAAAGATAGGAGTACAAGAGATTAAATAGAAATCTAGCTAGCCATGTACTCTGAGGGGTACATTCCCTTATTAACTGTATTGCATAGCTACAGTAACCGCGACTGTTGCTATCCTCGACAGTTACCATGTTGCAGTGAATTAACTGTCGCGCGGTTACTGGATCGTCAAAGGTCACGACCGTTGCGGTACTGGTACAGTGGAGCAGCTTCGGGAATGCTTTATATAACCCTTCGGTTATTCCAACACCCCCCTTCATTCCTGAAGGTGGGCCATGTGGGATTTCTTGGTGATCCCGCAGAGGTCTGCGCAGCGTTGGTACTGCTGACGTGGCAGTTTCTTTGTCAGGAAATCAGCTGCCATGTCACCGGTCGGGCAGTACGTCAGCTTGACTCTTCCCTTGTCGATTTCATCCTTCACGAAGAAGTAGCGAAGGGCGATGTGCTTGGTGCGGTTGACGAAGCCGGGCTTGTTCGCGATTTTTATCGCGCTCTGATTGTCGCAGAGTAACGTGAAGTGCCCGTTCATCGTCACTTTCGCCTCTTGCAGGAGCTCCATCAGGTACAGTCCTTCGCGAACAGCTGCGCTAGCTGCGATGAATTCTGCTTCTGCTGACGAAAGAGCGATGAGTTCCTGCTTCTGAGAGTTCCAGGAGATGAGTCCAGCAGGTTGGAGTTGAAAGATGAATCCTGTGCGGGAGCGTCTGTTATCAACATCTCCAGCGTGGTCGGCATCTACGTAGCCATGGAGCTGCAGAGTAGCGGTGAGGTTAGCTTCGTAGGTGAGACCGACGTCGGGAGTGGAGATGAAGTACTGTAGTGCTCGGCGTAGATCCAGTAGATTCTCCCCTTCAGGTCGCTTCAGGTACTGTGCGAGTTGGCTTGCGACGTAGGAGAGATCGGGCCGGCACGTGACGGCGGCGAACAGGAGACATCCCAGCTGCTGCTGATAGAGACGATGGTTGTCGGGAGAGAGCGGTGTGGTGTCTGGCTCGTGGTTAGGAGGAGGAGTGCGATAGGGGGTGATGAGGTTGATCGGTGCGATGGCGAATCGCTTTGCGAGTGTTTCGGCGTACTTGGCGGCAGAGAGGTGTATGGAGGAGGCGGACTGAGTTACATTGAGGCCGAGAAACTGTGTGACGTTGTGGTTTACTGTCACCTCCAGCTTCTCCTTGATGTCAGCCTCAAACTGGTCCAGCAGCTCTGTGTCGTTGCCGGTGTAGAGAAGGTCGTCGACGTAGGCGACGAGGAGGATGAATTTCCCGCGCGATTCCCGCCTGTACATTCCGAGGTCGTGCGGCAGCTGAGTGAAGCCGAGCTCAAGGAGGACGGAATGGAGGTACTGCTGCCACAGACGAGGTGCCTGCTTAATTCCGTAAAGGGATTTTTGGAGGAGGCACACGGCGCCATCATTTTCTTCGAATGCGTGTGGTTGCTCGACGAAGATGGTGGCATCGACGGGAGCGTATAGGAAGGCGCTGCTGACGTCGATTTGTCGGAGCGGTCGCTGTTTGACGGCGTCGAGGCAGATGAGAATGCGCACCGAGGTGTGGCGGCCGACCGGAGCGTAGGTGAGAGTGAAGTCCACCAGGTGCGTTTGTTCAAATCCCCGCACCACCCAACGCGCCTTGTACTTGTCGACCGAGCCGTCTGCGAGAGTTTTGATGCGGAAAACCCATTTGCCGCTGAGAATTTTCCTCCCCTTTGCCGATGACCGAGGGACCAGCTTCCAGGTGCCACGTTTCTTCAGCGACGCGATTTCGGCGGCCATGGCTGTTCTCCATTTTCCACTGTCGGGGCCAGAAAGGGCTTGGCGGACGGTGGTTGGTTCCTTGGGCGAGGTGTGGCGAACAGCGACGGCGAGGCCGAGAACGCGAAGACCGGTTTCGTTAGTCTTTTCGTAGTGAAGGCGGTTGTAGTCGTGGAAGCTGGTAACTTCGACCACGGCGTCATCGCTGTCGTTGCCGAGGCGGAGGGTATCCTGCGACGTGTTGGGTTGTGGTAACTCGGCATCAGGTGATCGGCGCGCCTCACTGTTGTAGTCATGAGCCTCGCGTGTTATATCGTCAGGATCGGGTTGGTGTAGAGGTACGAATATCGGAGTCCCGAATTGGCTTGTGAGGGGGATGCTTGGAGCGGAGTCCATTGGGGTGACATCAAGTGCGTCTGCATCCTCGGCCAGGTCAGCTTCGTCGTGTGACGTGGCGAAGCTGCGGTGGCCCTCGAAGAGCCTCTCGGGCAGTTTGTCGGCTTCCTGGTGCTCCTTGAAAAGGGGGAGAGTCAGCTTCTCGTAGAAGATGCAGTCACGTGATTTCGTCACCTCGTGTGTCGCGTAGTCCAGCACGATCCACGCCTTGAATTCCTTTTCGATCCCGAGGTGGATGCCCCATCGTGCCCGGTCAGCGAATTTTCCGGTTCTCGCAGTGTGGGGTCTGTACTGTACCATGCAGCCAAATACCCGAAGCAGGCGTGTATCTGCTTTTCTGCCCGTCCATGCCCGGTAGGGAGAGTTGTTATTCTTGAGGCTTCGCGAGGACAGCAAGTTGTGCAGTCGAACAGCGTGATTCATCGCAAACGGCCAATATTTTGTTGGGATGGCCGACTGCTTCAGCAGAGCCCTCATCCGCGTGGCGAGGCTTCTGTTTGTCCGTTCTGCTACTCCTTGCTGTTGGTGAGCGTAGGGCACGGACACCAGATGCTCAATCCCCTTCTGCTTGAAGAGCTCCTTGAACTCGTCTGAGAAGAACTCCACGGCTCCGTCTGTCTGCCAGGCTTTGAGTTTTAGACCGGACTGTCGCTCAGCCCGCTTCATCCACGCAATGAAGCACTCGAAGGCCAGCGACCTGCAGTCGGTGTTGACGGCCCAGACGTAGCGCGTAGATGCGTCGATGAAGGTAAGTGTGTACTGCTCCCCGTCGAGCCCTTCCTGGCTGAGCACCATAAAGTCGCTGTAAACCTTGTCCAGCGGCTTGTAGCGCTCGTACCCTGGGGGCAAGTCGGGGAACGGCTGGTGGTTGAGCGACGCGGTTGGGCAGACGATGCACGGCGGGTTAGGCGAGTCCGCGGTGAGGGAACCGTCTCGTGGAAGGAGGAGCGCTTCGTTGTCGAAGACTCCGGCCTTGAGCGAGATTTTGAGCGTGGCATGGGAGGGATGTCCGAGCCGTTGGTGCCATGTTCCTGGGTCCGCACGGTAACCGACTGTCTTCTGATAATATTTTTGTCGTGCTGCTTCATCGTTTGCCTCCCCTTCAGGTCCTGCGTCGGCGGCTTTGTCGGTATCGGCGACGAGCGTGCGAGTTGCTTTTTGCTCAAGAAGCGCGCGGGGAATACCGATGATGTCGTCGGTGTCGCCGGCTTCGACTTGGTCTCCGGTAACGAGCAGGCACTGGTTGGGCCACTCCCGAACTGGGAGTCCCGTCATGGGGATTCTGAAGTAGCTGTATTCAGCGCCGATGACCTCAATTTCTTGTGGTCCGAGTACTGGCGGCTCCGGCTCCTCGGTAGGTTCGGGTAACTCCGTTGGCTCTCCAATAAATTCGTAGGTCTCCTCTTCTTCTGACTCTTCTGGCATTGGCTCGGGTGTATCAGGGGCGTATTGATCTGGGAGAGGTGGACCTCCCCAGCAGGTGCCGCGAGTTGCCCAGTATGGGTCGACGACGGCGACTTCCGCAGGAGGAAAACCAGCTACTTCGGCGTGCCCTTGTTCTGCTTCGGCCGAGGTGCCCCATCCTCCTTCGGCGCTCCATGTGTCTCCAGCTGTCTCTGCTTCTCCGACTGCTTCTCCTGCTGTTGCGCCAACTTCCTCTGCTGGGGCAGGGGGAGTCCCCCAGCCGGTCGTGCCAACTTCTCCCGTTGAAACGGCGCCCCACCCGCTTGCGGCTGCTTCTTCTGGAGTTAAAACTTCTCCCCAGGATCCGAGCGCGGGCTCGGAAGTGTTCCAGCCCGTCCAGCGTGTCTCCGCCGTCTTGTTTTCTTCGGTTGGTTGTGATGCAGGTCCTGACGTGCCGCTGTCTTCTTCCATTGTGGCAGGTCCGGTTTCTGCAGGGTTGGAGGTCGAGGCAGTCGGAACGGTGCGCAAGCGCAGAAGGCCGTCGGAGGCAGGTCGCTCGAGATCCATCTCGCCGGGATGTGACCATGTTGGCGGCTCCGTGGGAGTTGTTTTCAGTAGCAGTGTGCGGTGGGAATCGCCGGTGGTGCCCTGAGCCGAAAATTGCAGCACGAAGACTCCATCGTCATCGATCGCCTTTCCGATGTAAGTTTCGTTGTGGAAGAGCTCGAAGGTCTTCTCCTTCCGATTGCTGCGAATGTCGATTCCGCACCGCATGAGTTGAGCTGATGAGAGTAAGTTGTATTCTAGGTCAGGTGCGACGAGGACGTCTCCGATGTGAATGGTGAACCTCGTGTCATTGGCCTCGAGGTAGATTTCGCCAATCTCATATGCCTTCATTTTTCCGTTGTTGGCGGCGTTGATTTCGCAGGGTCGTCGCATACGCCGTGAGTTGCTGATGAACTTTGGCGATCCTACCATGTGTTGTCCGCAGCAACTGTCGAGGTACCACGTGTCCAGATCCTCGTAGCGCTGGCGGGTGAGGTTGGCGATCTTGGGTGTCACGATGCGATC